CGGCTTCGGCCTGCTTGATTGCGGCAAGCATCAAATATGCCTTCCGGATCTTGTGTAGGCCTTTTATGGCTTCAACCATGGTTTCATTCATGAGCCCAATCATGGCAGACAAGATGAGAGATTGTGCGATGAGCACTTGGTATTCACTGCCGGCGGGGTATAGTCTCTCGGTTTGCGAGTCGGCGCTGTTTGTTTCCTTCTCGGCCTTCACGTCGACCCGGGCGGCTGTTTGGCAGGCGTGGAGTAGCCTGGCGGTCTCCGCCTTGTTTTTCTCTGTTGGCTTTCCATCCTCCCCGACCTCTGCGAGAGTCTTTATGAAGGCGCAGATCGCCAGGCCGAACAAGTGATATGTTGAACTCCCCTGGCCCAGACGGGCTTCGGCACCCTCTAGATTGTCATTCATAATGAGGTCCAGACCAACAAGGGCATCGTTGAGCAGCGCAAGTGAGCGAGCGCGTAGGTCAACTCGAGAGACGGCCGAGGCGGCATTTTCGCTTGGTTTTTGGGAGGAGCCCCTCAACCAGACACTTAGTCGGCTCATGAGTCACCAAGTGGTGTCGAGTTATTGTGATATGAGGGCGTGCTTAGCGTTAACGGTCGTCTCATGAGCTTGCGGTTCGTGTTTCTTCGTTCGGGAGACAAGGTCGGGTAGCTAGACGAGGTTGTACGCGACTGAATCAACGGGAGGGAGTAATTAAAGGGGATTGATTTTGATTGTAAGTGTAGGTATAGACCAGGACCCCTTCCCTTCGGATACCTACTCGTCAACCTGGACTTGGACTGGACTTGGACTGGAGCCCTGGACCCCCTACAGTCTCTACACCAGCTACAGGCTGTACAGTGAAATGACATGGCTTCAGTGTGGGCGGGACACTGTGCTCAGAGGCTTTGTGAAGCGTCATAATACTTGGGCTTTAATCAGGAAGCATTGACGATTGGCGACAGGTAAATTAGCAGTAGATGAACTCTTTGGTTGTTTACATTGCAGTCCGTGCAGTCTGCAGGTACGAATGCGAACGTGGATCCACGCAAGGACCAGGACACATGCAATGATTGCTCGGGCCGGTGCAGGCCGGCTTGGGCCGCCAGGTGGATCTTTGACGGCCTTAATGAGCCATCTTATCAGCTGGGATTGCAGCGTAGTCTATCTACTTAGGTACATATTACTACATACGTACGGACGTACCTTCCGTACAGATTACTTAGATACAGTCTGTACAGTCTGTATTGTCACTGCAGACTGTATTCCGTACGGACCGAACCAACGTGACAGAACGTGAGTATGTATCTATCTAGTCCTTTGCTTCAAGCACCACAATGATACCTAGTCTATGTTTCCCATAATTTAACTTTATCTGCTGACATAGTGCAGGAAAAGCCAACGACAACATTCTCTGGATTCATTCACTCTTTTTTTTGTTTCGTTTTTTAGCTTTGTGTTGCCGTAACAGTTAGAGCTGAAGACGCTTTACGTCTAGGTTCCATTACCGAGTCCCCATTAAAGGGTTCACCTCATTGCTCGGCCACTCGACGTACCTATTCACTATTCAAGCACATTGACAGTGCAGTTCTAGCGAGTGATCCCCACTTGGTGGCCGAGGAACAGGTCATCACGCTACGTAGTTTCACTCTAACTATTAGTGGGTACAGTCTGTACGCTAGGTATCAGTACCACGACCTACTACGACCTAAGTGTAGGCGCCAAGAGGTGCTAAGGTGCACTACCTAAAATACCGCTGCTACCGCTGTAACGTCATACCTCCCAGGGCAAGGTGCAGTGCCGTCCCCATCGAGTAAGTACCCTGCTGGTCACCTGCAGTTATCATTTAATCAAGTTATCATTCAACAGCTCACTCTCACGGGAGACTTTTTCGGAAGGAACACCGACTTGCCTCTTTCTATCAGCAACCTACTTTTTCTTCTCACCAATCCTTTATCACACCTGCCAAACTTCGACGACGACAACCCTCACCTGCGGCATTCGTACCGATGCTGCATGATGGGGCTTTACCAGCAAAATCGGGACCTGAATCCGGCGCAAAATGAGCCCGCTAATAGCGAGGACTCGGCCAAAGAGAACCAGCTGCGTGATGACTTACCGGTACCTCTAGACGATCCGGCCCCTCAATGCGAGATCAGCCCGAGCTCGGGTACCTGCATCGACCGTGCAGGCCTCATTGAACGGTTGAAGAGAGGGGAAAGTCCTACTTGGGTTCCCTCCCGCCATGTTCGTATTGCCCTACCTTTTATGGACGCCCCATCCCGTCAGAGTGCCTTTACTAACGAGTCGTGTGATGGCTACAGTTAGAATCAGTATGGAGTCAGCGAGAACAACCGTCGGCGGCACCTATCAGGGGCCCGACGCGCTCCGGCTTTGACACGGCTCCGCCGGCGTCTCTACAGCCCTCCCTAGAAATAACTCCCAAGAGAGATTGGAGTCCATCGGATGATGAGAGAAAGCAGCCGGATGTTCTTGCGCTCGAGAGGCCGAGATCAGCATTGCACAGTGGCGATTTTACTGAGAACGAGACCTCTCCAGAAGCAAGTGCCTCTGAGCCCGCACCCTTTGCTAGCACAACCGAAGAGCCAGGCGAGAGCGCTCGCTCATGGATACCAGGCTCTCGCCCGGGAGATTGTACAAAGTTGACCTTTGAAAAGAGACAGCCCCTCCCTGTGCGGTCGGACGAGGTACGATCTGCCCTATCCTCTCTATCCTACCCCTCTCCGACAAACTTTGTCTATAAACCACCGACCAGTCCTTTATTTCAATCTGAGAGCAATGATGAGATCGAACTGGCGTCTGCTATGGATAGCATGGATCTCAGCCCTAGTCTTCCTAACCACCGCGGGCACACTACGATGATATCTCCCTCGGGCTCTTGCTCTGGACCTTCTCAGGGGCTATCACAGAACCACATACTCCATCAGGAGAGAACCCCTCCTTACCAAGCACATCAGCCTCGGCGATCTCTCGCTATATCATCTACCTCCCCAGCAGGCGGACACACCCCGCAGACACCCGCAATGCCTCATACTCACCGTCCCTCACTGAGTTCTGAGATCTCCCCAATCCTACATGCGTCAATGGTTGGGTCTTACGAAGAAAGCATCTTGCGCGGTCGGATGTCAACCACACCATCAAAACCCCTGAATTTCCTAGCTCAGATCGGCGTTCTCGGTCTGGGCAAATGCGTGCCAAGCCTTCGTTGCCCCCGACATGTAACCATGTCGTTCCCCGCTGTCTTTTACAGTTATGCTAGCTCATCTCATGGCCGGACCAAGGAAGACGATGGACCTAGTCCATACGTAGGGCAGATTGATTTGGCAAACGGAATACGGATCCCAGAGCCTGCTAAACCGTCAGGGATGTCCTGGAGCGGACGGAGAACAACGAACGAGACCAATGCGACGAATACTAATGACGCCACGCTAAGCACGCCAAGTCGTGACGTTTGCGGACCTCGAAAACCTAGACGCAGATCTGTCTCGCCCACCCCATCCCCTGAAGGAGGCTACCGGATCCCCCAAAAGGGTCAGATTCAGATTATCATCAAGAACCAGAATAAGACGGCCGTCAAGCTATTCTTAGTGCCGTATGACTTGGCCGGGATGGAACCCGGCACCAAGACCTTTGTGCGGCAGCGCATCTATTCCGGCTGCAAACCACCTCATGATGGCTCTAGCTCCGACAGTGACTCGCCGGCGGATCACCCTATTCTGAGGTACCTTGTTCATCTACACATATGTTGTCCCGCGCGGGGCAGCTTCTACTTGTACAATACTATTCGCGTCGTTTGGGCCAGCCGTGTGCCTGATGGGAGAAAACGGCTTCGAAACGAGATCACACTCCCAGATCCTCGGTACTCTCCGTACAAACCTGTGCGAGCTCCGCGCCCCGCGTTGTCTAGTGATATAAGCGCCGCTGCCAGCCTGGCCCCTGACGTGACTACGGAGAGAGAGAGTCCCGCGGATGGCTTTAGCCCACAGGACACTCCAATGGAACCCGTGTCATCTGAGGACTCACCAGCTGAGACCGTGGTGTCCAATAAGGGTAAGAGCAATGTCTCAGAGAACCGGGATTCACGCGCCGCCGAATCATCCCGGTCAACAGCACAAGGCTCCAGTAACATGTCAAGCCCGGACCACAACGATGGCCAGTACAATAAACTAAACAAAGGTGACGTCGGATATGAAGGTAATGCGTTCTCCGATATTATTAATGATAACCCGGCAGTCGCTGGAAGCCTACTTTCTCAGCGCCTACGGTCTTTAGGGGCTTGTACAGAGGCTCCTAACGAATTGGAGGAGGATTCTAAGAGCAGCCCGCCGGAACCGGAGGAATTGTAGGTTTTTTTTTTTTTAACTGCATGAGTACTATCTGTCGGCGTCTGGACGGGTCAGGTTTGCGCTTCTGGGACCTACGATATGTACAGGCGTTGAGATCGAGATCGAGATCGAGATCGGGATCGGAATCGGGGATCGGAATCGGGGATCGGATCGGGGATCGGGATTGGGGTTAGTGGATGGAGGTCAAGGAGTATAAGGTTGTAACGCGACTTCACCATCTTGCCTCTCTGTATTTGATTGCGCGACAAGCAATGTGAATACCTAAACTGTGCCTAGACAAAAAGCCTCAACTGTACCTACTCAATCAACCTAGCTACTTTTGTCCGCTCTGTTTGATGAAGCTCAATTGGCAGCCATATCGTGACAAACGCAATCATCATGTGGTAAAACCGACGGATGGAAACCCGACCTACCTACCGTCCTAGATTAGTCCGGACCTATACAAACCTGCCTACCTAGGTACTACTTGATATAACTAAGTAACCTAACCTAGGTTAGATAAGTAAATAAAGCGCAGGAAAAACTCAACCGACCGGACCAATCGGTCATGGCTTGGCAAACACTCCATTAAGTAGAACCCAAGCAGACGCCAAACCAAGAAAAAAGAAGAAAAGAAAAAGAGAAAAGGAGAAAAGAAAATATATATACATAATTCCTCCGTGGCGCAATTGGCTAGCGCGTTCGACTGTTAAACTCAATATCTTGTTTATTTAAAAACAATAAAAAGAAAAAACCGCCGTAGAAAAAAGCGGGGAGAGGGAAGCGATCGAGAGGTTGACAGTTCAAGCCTGTCCGGGGGAGAAATTTTTTGTTTTTTTAAATCTTTTTTTTTGAATCTTTTTTTTTTGTTTTGGGTGGTTTCTTTTTCTTTCTTTCCTCACTCCCTCCTGCCTATCTATCTATCTATATCTGGTGAAGCCTATATATAGTTATACATAAAGGGATACGCTATCCAACACACCACTTTTGCTACTCAACACACCAGGTGTGGGTCCGCGCCACACTTTAGTGGCACAGCTTAGCCTTCGTAAAGGCATATGATTGTACTGCGCATGGATTTACCTCGCGCGCCTTTTTACCTGCTTATTAGGCCTATTGTTAAGGTAACCAAAGCTCGAATTATGAAGTTAACCCAGATACAAACCTGCCAATTGCTGGTTGGTAGAAAGAATAAGCCGGTTGGAAAATATGTCATCTTGTCGAACTCAACGAGCTGGATTTAATGGCGCCGACCATGTCTTCATTGGATAGATAATCGCTGAGATATTGAGCTCTGAATGTTAGCGAATGAATACACCACCACAAACACAACCTTAGGACAAACCCGGGGGTAAGCAGGTGAGGACCTGAATTGCCAACCCAGCACCTACGTATAGGTACCTATGGACCTTTGTATATTATATCTAATTACTGAATAACCTCTGTATCCCGATAATTATTCGAGACCCCGGGTTCCACTTATCTAGGTGTGGCGCGGACCCACACCTTGTGTGTTGAGTAGCAAAAGCGGTGTGTTGGATAGCGTATCCCTACATAAATATACATACATACAATACATATGCATCGCACCGCACAAGCAATGGAACCTCAAGTTATCCTCTTTTCCCGCGACCGTAGACCGAGGGGATGAGGCGGGGAGGAGGGAGGGGAAGGGGAGGGCAGGAATCCCCTCCCCCTCATTATAGCTGTAATCGCCCGCCGCCTACCTACACATACGTACTTTTTCCCTGCTTCTCTGCCCTGTTTACCTTAACCCTACCTTAACCCTACCTTACCTTGACATAATCCGTGATGGAACTGACTGGCGAGGGCCCG